CTTATATATTGAGGTGCTTCTATGTTGGGTGCATATATGTATTTACAATCGTTATATCTTCTTGGATTGATCCCTTGAATCATTATGTAGTGTCCTTCCTTGTCCCTTTTTTTTTGCGGTACGCGGGCCTCCCACCACTGCTGCCCCTCCCGTTGTGGAGCACAGGCTCTGGACGCACGGGCCCAGCTGCTCCGCGGCACATGGGATCCTCCAGGACTGGGGCACGAACCCGCGTCCCCTGCATCGGCAGGTGGACTCCCAACCACTGTGCCACCAGGGAAGCCCCCTTCCTTATCTCTTGTAACAATCTTTATTTTAGTCTATTTTGTCTGATATGAGTATTGCTGCTCCAGCTTTCTTTTGAGTTCCATTTGCATGGAGTATCTTTTTCCATCCCCTCACTTTCACTCTTCATGTGTCCCTAGATGTGAATTTGGGTCTCTTGGAGACAACATACATTGATATCCAGGTCTTGTTTTTGTATCCATTCAGTCAGTCTGTGTCTTTTGGTTGGAGTATTCAGTCCATTTAGGTTTAAGGTAATTACTGATATGTATGTTCTTACTGCCATTCTGTTAATTCTTTTGGGACTGTTTTCGTAGGTCTTTTTGGTTCCCTTCCTCTTTTGTTCTCTTGTGATTTGATGACTATCTTTAGTGTTGTGTTTGGATTCCTTTTTCTTTTTTGTGTGTATCGTAGATTTTTGGTTTGCGGTTACCATGACGTTTTGATAAAACAGTCTTGTATGTATACACAGACTGCTGTAAGTCACTGGTCTATTAATTTCAAATGCTTTTCCAATATTCTCCATTTGTACTCTCCTCTTTTCACAATTGCTGGTTTTGATATCATATTTGTGTGAGGATGATATCCTACCTTTACTGTATGTTTGCCTTTACTAGTGAGCTTTTCCATTCATGGTTTTCTTGTTTCTAGTTGTGGGCTTTTTTTTTCCCCACCTAGACAAGTTCCTTTAGCATTTGTTGTAAAGCTGGTTTTGTGGTGCTGAATTCTCTTAGCTTTTGCTCGTCTGTAAAGCTTTTGATTTCTCCATCGAATCTGAACAAGAGCCTTGCTAGGTAGAGTATTCTTGGTTGTAAGTTTTTTCCTTTCATCACTTTAAATATATCCTGGCACTCCCTTCTGGCCAGCAGAGTTTCTGCTGAAAAATCAACTGATAACCTTATGGGAATTCCCTTGTATGTTATTTGTTGCTTTTCCCTTGTTGCTTTTAATATTTTGTCTTTGTCTTTAATTTCTGTCAGTTTGGTTAATATGTGTCTCGGCTTGTTCCTCCTTGTGTTTATTCAGTATGGGACTCTCTGCGCTTCCTGGACTTGAGTGTTTCCTTTCCCATTTTAGGGAAGTTTTTGGCTCTTCTCTCTCTCTTTTTTTAAAATTTATTAAATTTATTTATTTTTGGCTGCATTGGGTCTTCGTTGCTGAGCCTGGGCTTTCTCTAGTTGTGGCAGGCAGCAGCTACTCTTCGTCGCAGTGCGCAGGCTTCTCATTGTGGTGGCTTCTCTTGTTGCAGAGCATGGGCTCTAGGCACGTGGGCTTCAGTAGTTGTGGCATGCGGGCTCAGTAGTTGTGGTGCGTGGGTTTAGTTGCTTCACAGCATGTGGGATCTTCCCAGACCAGGGCTCTGGTCCCCTGCATTGGCAGGCAGATTCTTAACTACTGCACCACCAGGGAAGTCCCTTATCTCTTCAAATATTTTCTCAGGCCCTTTGTCTCTCTCTTCTACTTCTGGGACTCCTATAATGCAAATGTTGGTGCATTTAATGTTGTCCCAGAGGTCTCAGACTGTCCTCATTTCTTTTCATTCTTTTTTCTTTATTCTGTTCCGCAGCAGTGATTTCCACCATTCTGTCTTCCAGCTCACTTATTGGTTCTTCTGCCTCTTATTATTCTGCTGTTGATTCCTGATAGTATATTTTTCATTTCGGTTATTGTTCATCTGTTTGTTCTTTAAAATTTCTTGTATCTTCTTGGTCTGTGCCTCCATTCTTTTTCCACAATCTTGGATCATCTTTACTCTCATTATTCTGAATTCTTTTTCAGGCAGATTGCCTATCTCCACTTCACTTAGTTGTTCTTCTGGAGTTTTATCTTCTTCCTTCATCTGCAACATATTTCTCTTCCATCTCATTTTGTCTAACTTTCTGTGTTTATGGTCTCCATTCCACAGGCTGCAGATTGTAGTTCTTCTTGCATCTGGTTTCTCCCCCCTGGTGGGTGGGGTTGGTGCAGGGGCCTGTGCAGGCCTTTCTGGTGGGCAGGGACATGTCAAAAGGTGACTGTGGGCTCAGGATGACTTTAGGCAGCCTGTCGATGGGTGGGGCTGTGTTCCCACCCTGTTGGTTGTTTAGCCTGAGGCATCCCAGCACTGGAGCCTGAAGGCTGTTGGGTGGGGACAGGTCTTGGTGCCAAAATGGTGACCTCTGGGAGAGCTCATGCTGAGGAATATTCCCTGGGGGCTCCCCCACCAGTGTCCTTGCCCCTGCAGTGGATCACAGTGTCCCCTGCCTCCCCAGGAGACCCTCCAAGACCCACAGGTAGGTCTTGCCCAGGCTCCTGTGGAGTCACTCCTTTGCCCTGGGTCCCAGTGCACATGCCACCTGTGTGCGCACTCCAGGAGTGGAGTCTCTGTTTCCCCCAGTCCTGTGGAGCTCCTGAAATCAAGCCCCACTGGCCTTCAAAGCCCAATGCTTTGGGGGCTCTTCCTCTTGATGCCAGACCCCCAGGCTGAGGAGTCTGCCATGGGGATCAGAACTCTCACTCCTGTGGGAGAACCTCTGTGATATAATTAGTTTCCAGTTTGTGGGTCACCCAATCAGCAGGTATGGATTTGGTTATATCACAAAAGCACCCCTCCTACCATCTTTTTATGGCTTCTTCTTTGTCTCTGGATGTAGAATATCTTTTGATAGGTTGCAGTCTTTTTTGTTAATGGTTGTTGAGAAGTAATTGATTTTTGGTGTTTTCATGAGAGGAGGTGAGCTCAAGTCCTTCTACTCTGCCATCTTGTCCTCCTCCTGCTTTATGCTATTAAAGGAGCATGAAGCACTGATGATTTCACCTGTTAAAACCACCTCGCATTCCTAGGGTTAACCCCACTTATTTATTACATAGTACCCTTTTATTGTGTACTGTAAAAAACAAGATTTTCTCTTTGTTTAGGATCTTTGCACCTACATTAAGTAAGGACTTTGATCTGTAATTTTCTTTGTACTTAATGTCTTTGTCTATCTTGATATCAAGGTAATACAGGCCTTATTATACACAATACCTCAGAAAGTATACCCTCCTTTTCGGCCTTCTATAAGGGTTTTTGTAGGACTGGTATTATTCCTTTCCTACGTGCTAAGTGGAATTCACCAGTGAAGTTGTCTGGTCCTTTTGTGAGAATGTTTTTACTTATGATTTCAGTTCATGAACTACTTACATATTTTGCTTTTCTTTGTTGTAACAAGATTTGTATGTTTCAGGGAATTGGTATATTTTATCTAAGTTGTTGAACATATCCCCTTATTCTAATGCCTTTTATGATCTTTAGTAATATCCCATCTTTTATGCCTGATGTTGGCAGTTTGTCTTTTTTTTTTTAACATCTTTATTGGTGTATAGTTGCTTTACAATGGTGTGTTTTGTCTTTTCTTTTTGTTTTCCTTGATTTCCCCCCCCCCCCCGCTTGTTTGTTTAATTGCTTTTCACTATTTCCTTTCTTCTTAATTTCCTCTTCTTTTTATGGCTTCTTAAAATGGAACCTTAGGTATTGACTTTAGGCCTTTCTTGCTTTCTATATGAATATTTAAAGCTATAAATAATCTGAGTGCTGTTTAACTGCATGCCAGAAATTGTGATAGTATTTTCTTTCATTATTATTTTAAAATATTTTCTAATTTCCCATGTGATTTCTTATAGGCAGGCGTTTTCTGCGTGTTGGTTTTGAATTTAATTCTGCTATGGTCTTTAATTTTCCAATCTTTTGAAATCTTTCGAAATTTGTTTTATAGCCCCGGGTATGGTTTATCTTGATGGATGTTGCATATGTACTTGAAAAAAAACTGTATGTACTGCAGTTAGGTGCAGTGACCTATAAGTTTCGTTTTGGTTATAGTGGTTCAGATCTTGTATGGCTTTGCTGATTTTTTTTAATGGTCTAATAAGTGTGTAAAAAATCTTCAAGTCTGTAGATCTGTCCATTTCTCATTTTAGTTCCCTCTTTTTGTTTCATATATTTTGGAGCCTTTATTAGATACATACACATTTGTAATTGTTACATCTGCTAATCCTTTTGTCATAAAATGTCTTTGTATCTAATAGTGCTCTATTTTGTAAAGTCTTTTTGTCTGTTTAGCCATTCCAGCTTTCTTAGGCTTTGCATGATATTTGTATGATACGTCTTTTCCTACCCTTTTGCTTACTTGTATTTAAAATATATCCCTTGTTGACAGCATGTAGTTGAACCTTGCTTTTTATATTCTCTGCCAGCCTCTGCCTTTTGATTTTAGGGGAGTGCACTTGCACATAATATACTTACTGAAACTGGGTACATTTGCAATTGCTTTTGTTGGGGGAGGTCTCATCTGTTTTGTTCATCTCTTTGTCCTTCTCTGTGTTCTTTCGGGTAGATCAAATATGTTTGGTATTACACTTCCATGCCTCTGGCTGGCTTTTAGCTGCTGCTTTTCAGTCCAGGCCCTTGGTCTTTCCTGTGTCTGTATCCAGACCAGGAATATGCCAGGGATATGGGTGACCTCACTCTGGACTGATCCCAAATATCCTACCTTTTCAAATTTGGCTTTTTCTTGATTGGACGTTCTCTTGGTTGCTGTAGACCTTTGTTTTTCAGAATTCCTATGAAGTCATTTTCACTACTCTCTAGTTGTTTATTTAATGTTTTCTTGGCGGGAGCAAAGGCTTGGAGCTTCCTAGTCCATCATCTTGCTGCCGTCACTCTCTCCGTCCTTAATTCCTTACTGTTTTCCTTTCAGGAGCCAGGAATCACAATGAGATGGAGACTCTTCATGAAACAGGAGTCAGATTCCTTTCATTGGGAGAGCTTTCATGCTGGCACATCAAGAGACACATTGTGAGCAAATTAACCAAAAGTCAGGACTCCATGATAAGTATTCACGGAAAGAATTCTCAGTCCCCCAAACAACATAATTCCCCTGCAGGAGTGTCCATTCAGGCTTCTGTGGAAGACAGCTGTTTAATGACTCTTCTAGAGGATCATTCTAATGTTATTGAAAATCAAGAATTTCCAACTGGGAGAGCTCAGAATTCCTGGAATAAATTCTATCTGAATGGGACTCAGAATTATCAGAGAAGTTGTAAGCTGACTCCAGTGAAAAACAAGTTCTGTATATTTGTTCCATGTGCTGATATTTTCAGTTGTATCTCCCCCCACCTCGATGATGACACGGTGTACAAAAGAGAGAAAGCTCACGGCAACAGAGAGTGTGGTAGAGATCTCTTAAAGGCATCACCTCTGGCCCCGTGCAGTATCATTCAAACTGGACCGAAAACCTACCAGTGTAACGAACGTGAGAAAGGATTCAGTGACCACACCAGCCTTGAACTTCATCAGCAGGTACACTTGGGCAGGAAGTCCCCTACGTACAGGACACATGAGAAGGGCAGCGGTTATAGCTCAGCTAGTCGCATTCAACAGGGTGTCCTCCCAGGGAAGAAACGCTATTGGTGTCACGAGTGCGGGAAGGGCTTCAGTCAGAGCTCAAACCTGCAGACTCACCAGAGAGTCCACACGGGGGAGAAGCCCTATTCATGCCATGAGTGCGGGAAGAGCTTTAATCAGACCTCACACCTGTATGCCCACCTGCCCATTCACACCGGAGAGAAGCCCTACAGATGCGAGAGCTGCGGGAAGGGCTTCAGTCGTAGCACAGACCTCAACATCCACTGCAGAGTCCACACGGGAGAGAAACCGTATAAGTGTGAGGTGTGCGGGAAGGGCTTCACCCAGAGGTCCCACCTTCAGGCCCACGAAAGAATCCACACTGGAGAGAAACCATACAAGTGTGCAGATTGTGGGAAACGCTTCAGCTGTAGCTCAAATCTGCACACGCACCAGCGCGTCCACACTGAGGAGAAACCCTACAGGTGTGAGGAGTGCGGCAAGTGCTTCAGCCTGAGCTTCAACCTTCACAGTCACCAGCGCGTCCACACGGGAGAGAAACCCTACAAATGTGAGGAGTGTGGGAAGGGTTTTAGTTCGGCCTCAAGCTTCCAGAGCCACCAGAGGGTTCACACAGGAGAGAAGCCGTTTCGATGCAGTGTGTGTGGGAAGGGCTTCAGCCAGAGTTCCTATTTCCAAGCCCATCAGAGAGTCCACACTGGAGAAAAACCCTACAAGTGTGAGGTATGTGGGAAGCGCTTCAATTGGAGCCTGAATCTTCACAACCATCAGAGGGTCCACACAGGAGAGAAACCCTATAAATGCGAGGAGTGCGGGAAGGGCTTCAGTCAGGCCTCGAATCTTCAAGCTCATCAGAGTGTCCACGCGGGGGAAAAGCCCTTCAAATGTGATGCATGTCAAAAGCGATTCAGTCAGGCCTCCCATCTTCAAGCCCATCAGAGAGTCCACACGGGAGAGAAACCATATAAATGTGATACATGTGGTAAGGCCTTCAGCCAGAGGTCGAATCTCCAAGTCCATCAGATAATTCACACTGGAGAGAAACCGTTCAAATGCGAGGAGTGTGGGAAAGAATTCAGCTGGAGTGCCGGGCTCAGTGCTCATCAGAGGGTCCACACAGGAGAGAAACCCTATACGTGTCAGCAGTGCGGTAAGGGCTTCAGCCAGGCCTCACATTTCCACACCCATCAGAGGGTCCACACTGGAGAGAGGCCTTACATATGTGATATATGTTGCAAGGGCTTCAGCCAGAGGTCACATCTTGTTTACCATCAGAGGGTCCACACTGGAGGGAACCTGTAGGATTGGAAGGTGAGGAATGGCCTCCAGATAATCCACGTCTTCATCTCTGTTGGAAAGTCTGTGCTCGTAGTTGTGGGAAGTTCCTGAAGAACTTGGAAACATCAAGGAATCTTCATGGGAGAGAAGTTCTATAAAATGCTGTGTTTGTAAAGATCCAGTTGGGAGGGGAACTCTTTATACTAACAAACATCAGGTTTCACAGAGGAGAGAAAACGTATTCTATAAAGATGGTCAGTGGTTATACCAGAGCTCTGAATGCCCCAATTCTCAAGATGTGACACAAGAGCAGAATCATTGGCATCTACCCAGGAGAGAAGGCTTATACATGAAGGTTATGGGCAGGACTTAAACAAAAGTATAATGATGGACAAACAGTTGATGTCAACTGCAGTGTACCCTCCACATAGGGAGGGCTGTTTTTCACCATTCTGTCTCTACCGTGTAGAACTGTGCTTGGTTCCTAATAGGTGCCTGGCAATTACTGAACCAAGGGGAGGAAAACCCCTCTAATTAGGACAAATATTTGAAAATTCTGGTTGGCTTCCTATCCTAAATTCATAACATACTCAAGAGGAATCCTACAAGTCGCCTTAATGAGATTGTACTTCAATTAATATTTCCTAAAATCGGAATCATGTAATAGCCATCCACAATAGTACAGATTTGGACAAGGCTTATGAATGGCTGCCACCCTCCATCCAGCTTCAGTTATATGTACAGAATCACTCATTGTGTGCAGTGTAATATTTAGCATCATTAGTTTGTATTTTATAGACTGAAAGACTTCTTTAATAATCTAATAACGTACTGCAACTTATATGATTGGAAATTTTGAACACTAATTAATTCCTTAATTCCTTAGGGTTTTACTGTAACTCTGAAAGTGTTAAAAGAAGTTACTAGTAACAAAAAATTTCTTAGTAAACTTGAACTGTTAATAATCGGTTTCTTTGTGTTATTTCCATTCAGGCTCAGGTCACATTGCCTTTTCTATGCATGGTCCTTCATCCAGACCTCTTTAAGCAGGAGTTTCGGCAGAAACCAAGGATATTAATTTTGTCACATTCCACCCCCATTGTTCCCCCTCTAAAAATGGGGTGGGGTAGACAAAAAACCTCTTGGATTTTGATTGAGATTTCATTAAAGTTATCAGTTTAGATTGTCATATCCACAGCATTCTGTGTTCAACACCTATTAGTAGAAGTGAACATTTGCTGGTCAATATGTATCAAAATAGTCTGCCCTGGCAAATCCTAGCATTAGAGGTTTTGCTTAGGAGATTATAGCAACAGTAAGGAAGATTGTACACAAAGATGTTTATACTGAATTTTTTAAAAAGGAAATAAGTATCAGCATAATATTTACATAAATGTATTCTAATATATAGCCATGAAAAAATATGATATAGATGTATAATGACAGGAAAAAATTTGTCATCCATGAGAAAACTAGGTTAGAGACTTCCTGGTATAATTCAGGTAATAAGGGGACGTGTACCTGAAGATGTGATTATGTGCATAGCACTAATAGGTGGAAAGATATATTTATTTTTTTGTCTGTGTTGGGTCTTCATTGCTGTGTGTGGGCTTTCTCTAGTTGTGGTGAGCGGGGGCTACTCTTTGTCGCAGTGCATGGGCTTCTCATCACGGTGGCTTTTGTTGTTGCGGAGCATGGGCTCTAGGCACGCAGGCTCAGTAGTTGCAGCACGTGGGTTCAGTAGTTGTGGCTCTCAGGCTCTAGAGCACAGGCTCGGTAGCTGTGGCACACAGGCTTAGTTGCTCTGCGGCATGTGGGATCTTCCTGGACCAGGGATTGAACCCACGTCCCGTGCATTGGCAGGCGGATTCTCAATCACTGTGCCAGGAGGGAAGTCCCAGGTGGAAAGATATTAATATGCTACCTGGTTTACTCTGGCATAGAAGGTTCGGGTGATTTTTCTTTACCTTTTTGAAAAATTATTTACAGTGGCCATTATCCATTTTACCAAAGCAGTAAAACTGGGACAATAAAATAAATGAAAATCCCTTATAGCTAAATCTTAACTGCTTTATCTCATGGCCTGTAAACTTGTGTTACAGATGTACATAAAGCATGTTCACCATTGCATTATTGGTAATAGCACACTTTGCATTCAGTTGGATCTGACAAAAATAATTTGTGGCTTAGCCATTCAGTGTAATGCTATGCAGAATCAAATGAGAAAAGATAAGTTCATAGTTACTGACATTAGTAGATATCCAGAATATGCTGAGGAAAGTTGGCAGAGAAATAGAATTTTTTATGAAATGATATCTAAATTTACTGTGATGCCCTCCCTTTAAAAGTAACCAGATCATAGCCATACATATGATAATACCATACATGTATGTCATTATATATATATATATATATATATATATATACACACACACACACACACACATATACATATATACATATATATGAGATACCTAAGGGCATTATAGTAAATTTTTTTTTTTTTTGGCTGCACCTCATGGCTTGCAGGATCTTAGTTCCCTGACCAGGGATGGAACCTGGGCCACTGGCAGTAAAAGTGTGGAGTCCTAACCACTGGACCACCAGGGAATTCCCCATTACAGTAAATTTTTAATTTTTTGAAATGCTTTTATTAGAGTGTTTTAGTTCATTCTAAATACTCAGAGAAGATGTAAGAATAATAGAATTCCTTTATATCCTTTGGGTATCTAATGTGATTACAAGCAGACCTGTTTATCTAGTACCTGAACTGAGAACCCAGACAGCCTTGGCTTGTCTTTACAAATCTGTGTGGCCTCCAGCATGACAACTTCTTACTAACTGGACACTACGTGGTGACTCAAAAGTCTGCCAAGAAAAACCAGCGGAAGTACCATGGCCTTTGTTAATCTAACCTTGGAAGTAACAGTCAATCTGCCAGTCAAGTCTATTGAGACAGTCACAAAAGCCTATCCAGGAGTGAGGGGAGGGGACGTGGACCCTACTTCATGAGAGGAGTGTCAAAGAACTTGCAAACATATTTTAAGACTGTCATACATTGCTATGATATCTTCTAATCTAGTTTATTCAGATTCCACAGTTGTCCCAATATATATATTTGTAGCATTTTTCTTTTCCTATATCAGGATCTACTTTTAAGGTGTGTCATAACCTGCATTTGATTGTCATGTTTCTTTAGTCTTTAATTCTGGATCAGTTCCACAGCCTTTCTTTGTCTTCCATGAAACTGGTAATTTTTTTTGTGTGTGTGGTATGTGGGCCTCTTACTGTTGTGGCCTCTCCCGTTGCGGAGCACAGGCTCTGGACGTGCAGGCTCAGCGGCCATGGCTCACGGGCCCAGCCGCTCCGCGGCATGTGGGATCTTCCCAGACCGGGGCACGAACCCGTGTCCCCTGCATCGGCAGGCGGACTCTCAACCACTGCGCCACCAGGGAAGCCCGAAACTGGTAATTTTGAAGAACACAAGCTAATAATTGTGTAGGGTGTCCCTAAATGGGGGGTTTGACTCATCATGATTAGATTCAAGTTAACTGTGGCATGAGTGTTCCATGAATGATGCATACTTCTCAGTGCATTAGAACAGGAAAGATGTATTTGTTTCATTGGTGATGGTGGCTTTGATCACTTGGATACACTGATAATTACTAGATTTCTCCACAGTAAAATTGCTGTTTGCCTTTGAAATTAACAACTAATTTGTGGGGAAATCTTGGAGACTATGTAATAACTGCTTCATTATAACCTTCACCTACTAGTCTTAGCATTCGTGGATATTCTTCTGTGAATCAATTATTACTGTCATGATTGCAAAAGGATGACTTTCTTGCTCCATCATCCCTTCTATATTTAGCAATTGGCTTTCTACTGTTAGAAGAGCTTTGCCTTCTCCCCCATGTCTCTTTCTCTATCATCAGTATGAACTCTTGTTTTCTGGTACAATAAGATTGGGTTTATCTTGTATATTGTCTGCTGCGACCAAAGATTCTATGGAGCCCTGAATCCTTTGCAGAAACCAAGACCTAGGGGCTGTATGTTCTCCTTGTTACTGGGATAGCAATCCTTCATGTATATGTGTGTGTGTAAAATACTGACAGCTTCCATTTCAAGTAACTATTGCTTTCTGGTCTTTCCCT